TTCGGTTCCTCCTCTTCCCCCCATTCCGCATAGATTTTCCTCACTTCCTTTGCACATCCCCATGTCATACATTTTTCTACCCCATGTGTTTACTGCACCAGGCCTCCCCTTCCCTTCTATAATTCTGTTCACCTCTGAAATCTTCCATATCTGCCCATATCTGCTTCCTCTTTTTACCCTCCCAAGCTCCTGAGTTCTGGAAAAACAATGATGGGCTTAAAACCAAGATAAACTACAGATCTTTTATCCACCTTTACCATTCTTTAGGTTGGATAAATCTGGTCCTTTGCATCAGATAGCTTCTCCCACAATAATAAAAACTGCCTCATAAAAAATGGTGCTGAATCCAAATAAAATAATAGTAGCGGTCCAGGAGGAAAATGAATTAAAAAGTGAAGAAAAAGCCACTAATTTCTAGAATGAACTGAGGATGGAGGCTAACCAGGCAGGGTGGAGCTTAGAGTCCTAGAGAACGTCCCCTTATGAAATCAAAGTTGACAGTTAACTGACATAATGGCACTGATTGATGAAGGGGTTATATGCCCCTGGAAGCCCATTAAATTGATTTCTTGGCCTATTTATGTGCCTTCACAAACCATATCCCCCACCTCTCCCAGCCCCTTGCTTGTGGTTTCTTCTGCTGCTGAGGTTAAATGTTGGGTAAGGGGAAAAGAGATAAAAGAAACAGTGACTAAGAGAAAAGGTAGAAAGAAGGCAGATTACTGGAACAAAGATGGTGAATAAATAAGGGAGATCATGGCATTCAAGGATAGAAAAAAAGGTATGAAATAAAATGGGGAAATGAAAAAATATATACAATGGTAAAGTGGGGGAAGGGAGAAAAATGAAGTCAGCAGGGAAGAGGTTTGTGGTGGAAAGCTCCTGGAAAGACAGATGATACACAGTGAAGACCAGATCGTGAGATCCTGATGGGGGAGACAGGCACATGGCAAAGGAGACAGTCAACAATGCTAGGAAGTTCCAAAGCTTCCCTGGTGAAGGTGGAACAGAAGGCTCTCCTGGCAATGCTGAAAGGGCACATGAGTCTGGGGGAAGACATATCTGCTGCATCCCCCTACTTTTCAGACCCCTGACCAATGACTATCATAATTCTGGTCAATAAGCTAACTCCAAAGTAGTATGAAAAGGCCACAGTCATTGAGATGGACCCTGAAGGAGAGGGTATGGAGTCCTAGACGGCAGAACAGTCAGGCAGCCAAGGCGTGACACATAGTGAAAGGGACACATAGGGAGATCACTCAGATGGGAAGGGTCACAGCAGAGACAGTGACACACAGAACTGGAGACGAATGAAGTGGGGAGACATTGTGAAGAATGGCAAAACCAAGAGGAAGGGACATATGGACAGAGATCAGGGGAACTACAGGCACAGCTGAAGCATGGCCCAGTGCTCCAAAATCATAGGGCTACTCAGACAGGGGTAGACAAGAGCTGATGTGGGGCAGGGGTAACAGGACAGACATGCTTCATCTTCAATGGGGCAGTGAGGCTTCCCCTCACCTACTCACACCTTTTCAAAAAGAAGAGCGGGGGCGGGGGGGGGGTGCTCAACTTCAGGCAAAATGAAGACGTCCCTCCCATCTTGCACCCTAGCGCGCTAACCCATCCATCAGCCCTCCCGCCGCGGTTCCTCCCCCATCCCTCAGCCGGCGGGGGGCCGCCGAGACCCAGGCCCCTCCAGGCTGACAGCTCTGAGCCCTCGAACTCACCCGGCCTCCCCTTCCCTCCGGGAACCCCGCTCCCCGTACAGCTCGGCGCGGTCCGTCTAGGCTTTCGTTACCCTCCGTCTGTCCCGCTGGCCCCTGCTTCTCCCTCCCCAGTCTCTCCCTCCACCCCCTACATATTTCTCTCCCTACATACGCCCTCTCTCCCACACCCCGGCTCCCCTTCTCCCCGGGCTCTGGCTGTCAGTCCGTCCGTGTCCCCTCCCCCAGCCCCTTCCCATCCCTCTCCGTCCCTCCAGCGGCAGTCTCCGAACGCCTCCTCTCCCCTCGTCTCGAGCTTCCAAAGAGCAAGGAAGGGAAGAAGAGCGAGAGGGAGAGGAGAAAAAAAAACACCAACCCAGCAGCATCGGAAATCGATGCACTTACACCTCAGCTGGAAGCAGGGACGGGAGTCGAACCACGGCCGCCGAGCAGCGCGAGGCGGGGAGGGGAGGGGGCGGCTCTTGGAAGGGACTTCTCCGATGTGTTGATTCCTTTTTTTTTCCCCTCCTCCTCCCTCCCTCCAGCGCTCGCTCCGGGGCGTCGGGGACGGAGATGGAAAAAATAAATAAATAAATTCACGGCGGTGAGGGAAGTGAAGGAAAATAATCAATGCTATTTGGCTGCGGCTGAAGTGTTTTCCCGGCTTCGTGAGGGGGTTTCCATTGATTCACCCTGGGCACTCGCTCGCTCCCTGCCTCCTCCTCCTCCTCGCCCTCCTCCTCCTCCTCCTCCTCCTCGCCCTCCTCCTCCTCCTCGCCCTCACTCCTCCGCCTCATTCACTGGCTGGAGCCGAAGCGTCCCACACAATGGAATAATCAATACCCAGGCGCCCGGGGCGGCCCCACTGAGCAGGTGCAGCGGCCCGCCCGCCGCGGCGCATGCCGGGACTTGTAGTCCGTCGCCTCCGCCCTCCAACCCGCAAGCGCAGTGTCCGCACTCCTCCCTAGACGCTGGAACCCTACCCTGCCCAGGGGCGGGCTCGATGGGGCCAGCCAGTCCATCCTGTCGCCTCCTTGACTCAGGCGCCAGGTCCTCCCGGTGCCTGCAAGAGGGCATGTCCCTAAACTCTTTCCCGTCCCCTCCTTTTCCTTTTGCCTACAGAAAACATGCATGTGTTTTGTTGTTTTGTTTCAGATCAGCTCTAGAACAAGCTCTGGCGTTTACCAGCTTGCCAGAGCTGTCTTTCTTTTTTCACTCCCTTCTTGCTTCCTTATCTCCCCTTCTTTCCGATTGAAAACCTTCTCTCACAGCAATTACTCTGAAGTCTCTGAGTTTCTGCTTCCTCCCTGCGGTCACACAGTCCTTTGAATTGGGGATGGGTGGTTCGGTTTTATCTGCTCATAAGCCCACTATATTGTAGTAACAATAATTTATAACATTTATTGAGTATATAGGGACAGTCCCAATCACTTTTACATATATTAGTTTATTTAATACAACTGTATAAGTCAGATACCTTAATTCCTTTTACAGGTGACAAAATTAAGGCACGAACCAGCCCACGGTTGCATGGTCAAAAAGCAACAGCAGCAGGGTTAAACCTCAGTAGTTTTGTTCCAGAGATCACACTGGATGCTAAAACCTAGTTTTAAATAACAACAACAACAAAGTAAAACCTCCTGAAGTTCTGGGGGGGGGGGGGGGACTAGTATTTTGGGTTTCTACCAAATGACAGTTTGTTACTGAATCCTCATATAATTGTGAGGCAGTTCACAATTTATCAATAAAAAAGCAGAGTCTTAGGTACAGTAGCCTGTCCAAGGCCAACCATCTAGAAAGTGAAACTCAGTCAATTCCAGGTCTGTAGCTGAAATCTAGGCTTTCCATTCCATTAAGCTGCTGCCTCTACCCCATTGGGGTGGACATTAAACATAAAAATACTAGGACTTCTTCCTGGGTCAATAAAACTTTGGGGGATGGGGGCGGGGACTGCAAAGGATGAAGGAAATGCAGGCCCTCCCAGTCCAGTGGTGCTTGACATGGGGTAGGGGTAAGGATACATCCAAGACATCCCAAGTTTTACCACCGTTTTACTTCACTTGTGTTTCCAGACACATACAAGGGATAGACTGGTGTGGAGAACCTGGCACTTTTTTCACTAATTTCAGAAGCAAGCCTAGGCGTTGACAATATCCTCACCCAGAGAGTAAGATACAAAGTTTATAGATAATATAAACTCTCAGAGGGAGTATGGAGGCATTTTCTCTATAGAGTCTTCTAAAGCAGCCAGAGGGTCATCTCTCCTCCATATGTCTTGTATTTTAAATGAACACTGAATATTTTTCCTACTCCTAACAAACCTTGCTCAGGGTCTGCTGGAATTGACAGACTCCTCAGTCTGGCACTCACTCAAGGCCTTTTCCAACTTGCCCCTCAATTGTATTTCCAGCCCCATCTTTATTCTCATACAGGCCAGGTACTTTTCAGTATCTGGGTCTTTGCTCATGTTAGGTCTCCACCTAGGTTTTACCCGTTGAAATCCCACATCTGTAGTTCATTCAAAATTTCACTTTCTCCTCTAACAGAAAGTCTTTTGCTCACCCGTACTCTTAACATTCTTACCAGAATGTGTTTGATCCCCTCCAAAACTCCAGAAGAGCTATATTGGACTTAATTGCCTTTCCTTCTTCCCAGCCCATTGCCACTGGCCTGCGGTAAATAGGCCACCATAATAGTTAAATATGTGCCAGACAGCGTCTGAATGAGTGACTTGTGTTTCAGGCCCACTGCCAAGTTCGGGAGGGGTTGGAGAGTGCAGTCTCAAGTTCGTTGCCCACGACTCTCCCCACAGAGCTGCAACCCCAGTTCAGCTTTAGGTAAGTCCCCAGAGCACTAATTGCAGCTTTCAGGTCACCATAGCAATGGGTGGGGCGAAATGGCTAAGATTCCCCCCTCCTCCGAACTACATCTCCCATCATCCACCCGGCTCAGGAAGCCACGCTCAACCAGAGGCCTGGGACCACTGTCGACCCCCCAGATGCCAGGAGGCATAGGGGTTACGCTGCAGGGCACCTGGGGACGGTGTCGCTCCTCTGCCCTAACGGGAGTCGCGATCGCCCATAACCTAACAGGTCTCTCGGGCCGGTCTGCCCTCGGCACTACTACCATGGGCCTAATATGGCCGCTGGTGCTCGTACTCTCCTGTCACGCAGTTGAGCTGGGCTGAGGTCCGAGACCTGGGACTCCTCCCGGCATTCCTCGCGGGTGTGGTGTGGATTCCCTCCCCCCATCTCCTGGTCCTGCGAGAGGGAGACCCTTGGGTTTGAGGTGAGACCCGAGGCAAAGCTGGCGGGTGCTGTGGCTGCGAATGGCAGGTCATCCCAGGTAGCAGCTCCTGGCCTCCTGGGGTAGCAAGTTGTAGTGTGGGGTGTTGAGACGAAATTTGCTGCATGACCTGCTTTCTAGGGACATCTTTGGGTTGAGAACGTCATCAATAGTGGAATGGATTTAACTGGAGACCAATCACTGTAGCAGAACATTTAAAATCTCGCAGACAGAGCCCTGTATCGCTGAGCCAAAGATCTGCGAGTCTGTATGCATCTCAGTAAATTCATCCAGAGCTAGAGTCTCTGCTTAGCCGTTGCCCAGCAGGCTGAACACCTTTGGGCGCTAAGAAAATGTTTGTTGCAAATGATCCTTGCAGATAGCATGGCCCAGGGCTTGATTGAGGTGGAGCGAAAGTTCATTCCAGGGCCTGGCATAGAGGAACGACTGCAGGAGTTGGGGGGCATCCTAGAGCACCGGATCACCTTCCGAGACACCTACTATGACACCCCTGAGCTGAGCCTGATGCGGTCTAACCACTGGCTGCGACAACGAGAGGGTAGTGGATGGGAGCTCAAATACCCTGGAGCATCAGGTATCTCAGGACCCCACACCGAGTACAAGGAACTTACATCTGAATCTGCAGTTGTGGCCCAGCTCTGTGAGGTGCTGGGAGCTAAGGGTCTGGGGGATGGAACTATGGCTGCTGTGCTGGGTCCACTAGGGCTGCAGGAAGTAGCTAGTTTTGTGACTAAACGGAGTTCCTGGAAGCTGGTATTCCCTGGAGTCAATGAGGAGGAGCCGGTGCTTAAGGTGGACCTGGATACAGCGGACTTTGGCTATGCTGTGGGTGAAGTAGAGGCCCTGGTACAGGAGGAGGCTGAAGTACCAACTGCTCTAAAGAAGATCAATAGCCTCAGCAGCATGCTCGGTGAGGGGGACAGGACCTTCTGTGTTTTCCTGATCCCCACTTTCCTTTCCTGGCTTTTTAATCTTTTTGTAGTGCTGGGATTGAGCCTAGGGCCTCCTAATCATGTTAGGCAAGCACTCACCACTAAGCCACACTTTCCTTTTCTGGAGCACTGGCTGTGTTGGTGGGAGTTGGACTATATAATGGGGGAGGGTCTCTGGATTATTTCTTTTTTTTTTTTTTATTTTATTATTTATTTATTTATTTATTTTTAGTTTTTCGGTGGACACAACATCTTTGTTTGTACGTGGTGCTGAGGATCGAACCCGGGCCGCACGCATGCCAGGCGAGCGCGCTACCGCTTGAGCCACATCCCCAGCCCCTGGATTATTTCTTTAACAGTAATTATTTTAGCAATTTTCTAGAGGACCCAGTTTTGCCCACAGTTCTATCAAGTTTTCTCTTTTACAGTTGCTGTCTGACTTGGATTTAAGCCTTTCATAAGTCTCTATTCTTCATCCCAGCCATTCTGTCTCATTTAATTCTCATTCCTCTGGCCAAATTTCTTTCAGTTCTATTTGTCAGTTCTCTGCTTTAACCCTTCCTTCCCCTAATCTTTTTTTTTTGCCCATGCTGGGGATCAGATATCCTTTTGTTTTTATGGTTTCTTAGAGTTCATTTAATTCAACGTCTTGGCTTTCAGTGAAAGGCAAGAACATTGCATTTATGAGAGACGGTTGGGGGAGCATTCGCAAATTTGGTTTCTTTCTTTTTTTTTTTTAAATATTTTATTTAGAGACAGGGTCTCACTGAGTTGCTTAGGGCCTCGCTAAGTTGCTGAGGCTGGCTTTGAACTCACTGAGGCTGGCTTTGAACTTGTGATCCTTCTGCCTCAGCCTCTGGAGCTGCTGGGATTATAGGCATGCACCACTGTGTCTGGCTCAGATTTGGTTTTCTGTTCCCATGCTCAGTTTTCTAGTAGACAGCCCATCCACTAGTTTGGGGTTGTGCACGCCCTGGGGCCTGACAGCCCTGGGATGCTGTTTCAGCCTCCTTAGCAACTATACATCCTGTTTCCTGCTGTATGCTCAGTATGCTGCTGGGCACTAACAATGGAAACTGGCAGTGGCAGTTCTAGAGAAAATTCTTGCTTTTTTGTAGGAGGCAGGGAGGGAGTTGGTTTGCTGGGGATTGAACCTAGGGCCTTGAGCATGCTAAGCAAGCACTCCAGTATTGAGCTATATCCCCAGCTCCAGAGGGGAGAATTCTATGTGAATCCCACCCCATAGCTAAAACTTCTTTTCCTTTTCTTTCCACAGCCTTTGGTTTCTCTCCTATGTTTAAATCTCTGTATGTGCTTCATTACCAAGCTAATGAGCTTTTGCCTGCCTAGATGGGTTTTCATCTTGATTGGGGGACAGGGGTAATAACTAGAGTGAGTACATATTGAAGGATCCTCTGTCTTCATGGCACCTGGGTGCTTCTTCACCATTTCCCCTGGTTGGAGAAGAGGCTCATGTGTGGCTCCCCAGCATTCCTGAGTCTGAAGTGGCTCTTGGGTCCCACTTCTAGAGTCCAGTGAGGTAGAGGGCAGATTACAGAAGCGAGTTGGATGACAATCAGAATCTCAGTGCTACCTTCAACAACTTGGGGGTCCTGGCTGGGTGGTCAGGGAGGAAAGTTAAAGCATGTATGGCAGTTCTGTCTGCTTCTTTCCTCACTGTCCTTTGTCTATAGGTGTGCCAGCACAGGAGAGGGCACCTGGCAAGCTCATCGTGTACCTACAGCATTTCCGTCCTCAGGACTATCGGCGCCTGCTAGAAGTAAACAGCTCCACAGAGGACTAAACATCCCGACAGCAGCCTGGGCTAGGGGTGTCACTTCCTAGAAGAGAAAGGGAACTCTTGGTCCAGCAGGGGCCACACCTGGCCTCACTGTGCCTCTTCCCTCCCACCTCCTCTCCCTATACCTCTGCCTGTTCTTTCGCCCTGTTCTCAACAACCCATTCCTTGAGCCCTCCCTGGTTGCCTCCTCTCTCTCATCAGTCAGATGCAATCTGTGGGCCGCCCCTCTCCCCTGGCCGCTAAGCAGCCTCCATTGATTTCCGCTCGTGTTTATAGGATTTCCACTTAGCCGTGATCAGTAGTTAAGCACAGGAAAATCCCTTGCCACCCCCCCTCCCTTGGTCGATGCCATTGATTCTGCCAGCGGCTCCGAAACCGCCTTACAGCTGAGTTAGAGATGAGGGGAGGCTGCAGGGATTTCCCTGCTTTGGGGTGTGGGGAATAGCAGGGTGGGGAAGTGGTTGGTAATTCCTGTTAGAAATCCAGAAATTCTGCTTTGATTTTGCCACTGTGTCCAGCTCTGGCCCAGAGAGTAGAGTGCTTCCTGTGACAGCTTAGCAGCAAATTTGCTCCCTAACCTTGAGGGGCAGAAGAAAACCCTGGTGTGCTTGAGACTGATTCTCAAGGTTCCCAGAAAGATTCCTGGGACCCTTCCTGTGTGAGAAGCCTCTTCCCTTGCTGTTATTTATACATTTTTTTTTTTACCTCAAACATACCCAGATTATGGCTTTATGCCCCCCTCGGGCTTTATTTGGCTGCCATTATTTGTGGGGGAGGGGAGCAGACCCACAGTTTTGCAGTGATTAATGCAGAACCAGGGTGCCATCTGCTGGTAGCCCTCAGAGTTGGTTCCCCACTGCTAGGACCACAGGCTTTGGGATGCAGGAGGATTTCAGGCAGAGTGAAGAGTTATTGCCACGTTTCCACAGGCAAGTTGTTCACCTCAAAGATCTCTTGCACCGATTGGCCCAAGTGGTTGTAGGTCAGGCGCAGCTTTAGCCGCAAGGGGGCCTAGAAATGGGAGAGTGGAGACCAGAGTTAGTGCCTATGACTTCTCCCTTCCCTAGGTCTTTCTTACCTATAGGGCCCTGGAACTGACCTTGTTAGGATTGAGGATTCTGAAGAGCTGGGTGATGGGGAGGCCGCCCCAAGCTGGAACTGTGTTCCCACTGGGGGCCTGCAGCTGCAGCTGGAAACTCTGAACATGGGATTTGGGCAGAACACAGTAAGGCAGCTGGCCGGGCTCAGCAACCCCTCCACACTCAGTGGTGCCAAACTCTCTTCCCATCAACTCCCCAGGTACCTGTCTCTGCTGTCACTCCCTTCCCGTCTCATCCTGTCTCCCACCCACCTCTATTCCTTCCTGGAGTGCCTAGGCCACCTCTGAATCCTGGTATTTACAAACCTTGGGCACAGCTGCCTGGCAGATGAAGTGGGTGACATCACCCTTTGAGGAGTTGGTGGTGGTGACGGTGACTAAAAGCAAAGCAGGGGATCCAGGTGGTCGAGTGAAAGACAGATTGAGCTGTACTCCCTCACGCTCAAACACTTTGAGATTTGGAATGGGAGCTATATAGCAGGGAAAGAGAGGCAGCTCAGTGTGTAGGCGCGAGATAACACGTTCATTCAACAAAAAAACAGTGAGCACCTCTTGTCCCTGTACTGCCCAAGATGCTTGAGAAGTAGACAACTGACAGTATAGTGCAGGGAGAGAAGCAATAACAGAGAAAATAAGCAAGATAATCAGGCTGGAATGGGTACTATGAGGGAAATAAATTAGCCAGAGTAACTGGGAAGAACTAATTTAAATGGGAGTGGCAGGGAAAGGCATTTGACATTTCAGGCTGGAGTGCCTTCCCCAACCAAGCCAGTCACTTGATGTGCCAAGGAAATAACATTTTGTGTAAAAAGAGCATGAAATGCCAGGGCTTAAGACGGGAGGGTTTGAGGGGCCAGTGGGGAAGTGGGATGAGATGGGGTGGGGAGGAAGCAGGGCCCTGCTGGCCAGGGCTAGAAGTCTAGAACAAAGAAGACACTGCAGCCAGGAGAGGACTGGCATGACTGAGTGAACCCCTTTACCTACCAAAAAGGGGATGGGATATGGGCACACAGGAGGGAAAGGGTTTATGAGCTTCACTCAGCACAGAAGCAGAGATGGCACATTCTCACCTACCTTCTCTAAGACTAGACTCTTTCCTGAGGCTTACCTGGAGGTGGCAATGCACAGGGAAGGTCAAGGAGGTGTACTAAGGTGCCTCCTGGGGATGGATCCAGAGGGGGAGGATGCTGGGCATCCTCAGAAGTGTCATCCAGGAGATCTAACAGGTCCAAGAGCTTTGAGGCCCAGGGGAAAGGGCAGAAGGGTCAGAACTTGGCATGGAAGCCCAAGCCAGCCCTCATCCCAAGGCTTCCAGTCTCCTCACCTGGGGCTCTGTGGGGATAGGGGCTGCTGCCTTTGAAACCTGGACTGCTTCTTTGCTTTCCTTTGCCTCCTCATCAACCTGAGGGCCACCTCGCTCCACAAGAGGCATCTTCTCAAGGATGGCAGCCCTGAGGATGGAATGTAGGTGTCTTTCTAGGTAGACCCTTTGCCTCTCACAAGAGACATCTACAAAGAGTGCTCAGAACATGGAGATGCTGGGCACATAGTGGATCAGAAGTGTCCTTCTGATAAGATGGCATACTGTTGCTGGTTTTCAGATGAGCAGGGAGGGTTAGGAGGCAGCTTGCTTCAATGAACTGGGTGGAAAGCTCTTGCAGTGGACAACAACACAGGAGAGGATGAGACCGTTGAGGCTAGAAGGGGGCATTTGGGAGAGGGCAGGGATCTGGGTCCCACACTGGAGCCGATGTTTGACATACCTCATGTGGTCATACTTCCGGAAGAGTGTGTTATATTCTACAGCCCGCTGCTGCAGCTCCACATCTAAGCAACTCCCGTAGATAGACACCACCTGGCGGATGCGGCTGGGCCACAGAGTTGTGTGAGTTGCAATGGCAATTTGTCCTGCCCTTCTGCTTCAGTATATGGCAGAGAAGGGAGCGGTCCCACAGAGTGAGGAGACACCCAAGATATGTAGCTCTAAAGCAAGTCCCAAGATTGGGGGTAAGAGAGGCGAGGGATAGTACAGCTATCTGGAGAGCTTAGAAATGGTATGCAAGTGAGGAGACATTTTTCTCTGGGCTGAGACCACTTCTTACTTGTTGTCCCCTCGAAGCCGGGTGCTGAGCTTCATGAGGGCTGTGAGTGCATATCCTCTGGTGGCTGGCAGGGACATTTGGGACTGCAGCACCTTTTCCAGGAGTGCTAACACCTCCTCTTCTTCCACCTTCAGGTGTGGGTACAAGTAGTGACCTGGGATCTAACCCTATCTCCCTTGACAAGTCCATCCTTAGTGTGTCCACCATGTAGGCCTTACCTGAAGGGGTTCTACTTCTTCACAGCTCCCCTCCATCAGGAGGTCCCCATACTCTCCAATGCACCAGGCTGCCACTTGCACCAGTGGCTGCTGTATGGGAGAATCACATCTATGTCAGTGTTTGGGGTTCCCTCCTCTTTTCCACACTCTGAAATATCCCCTTATGCAGCACAAATATGGTGGGGCAGGGAAGGAAATTTGTGAGCAGTTTCTGTCTTGATGCCTGGGCTCCCACTGCCCTCTGGTGGCCCAGATTCAGAAGTACATGGCCTGGCCACGTGATGGAAGTGTGAGAGGGTCCCACCCTTGAGGAAGAGCAGGGTGATGGTTTCTGCTCATCCTACTAAAGAGGAAAATGGAGAGTATGCCATGAATATATAAAAATACATTCTACTGTCATGTATAACTAAAAAAAATTTAAAAGGGGCAGTTTAATATTGGGTGGCACCTTTGGCACTCAGCATTTGAAATAATAATAAAGTATAATATATGCATAAAACTTGTATCTATCTCATTTGATTATAAAAACAGCCCTGGGAGATAGGCAGGATAGAAAGCTGAGTACATGGAGCCTAACGGAAGTTAAATTAGTCATCTGGGATTACATAGCCAGTAGGTACCAGGGCCAGAACAGCAGCCCTGGTGTTCTAAAAGGCAAGCTCTGTTCTTAAGGATCTCCTGCACTAAGTAGACAGCTGTGAGCCTAAGGGGAAAACAGTTCAGAGTCCAGTGAAGAAGGGAAGCCCAGAAAGAGATAGGAGGCAGCCCTGGGCTTGGGGAGGTGGGAATGGCACCTGGGAGATGTCTTCTGCCAGGGCACTATAGAGTCGGCACACAGAGTAGGCATGTAGCTCCTGGGCACCCCCAATCAACTGCGTCAGGTTGGCTACTGCATCATCCCGCACATGGGCTCCTGCCTGGAAAGGGTGTACATTGTCAAGTCAGTGTGATTAACTCTGTCCACTACTGCCCAACTCTCCAACTAGCCCATCTCACCGTTATCAGCACATGAAGGATGGTGTCTATGTGCCATCGCTTGGTTGGAGCAAACCTAGGGACATGGCTTATCAGTCCTGGCACTGTCCCTGTCCCTCCCCAGACTGTACCCTCTCCATTTCTGGGAACCTGTTCCCTCACCTCTCTGCAGCCAGCAGAATGCCTGAGGCACAATCAGCCCGTAAATCAAGGGGGCAGGACTCCAGAAAGGCCTGCAACTCCTGTGTCATGGCTCGCACATTGGAGCTATTCACCAGAGCCAGGCTCAGTTCCAGGGCTCTCCTGGAAGGAGAAAAAGGTCCATGCAGGTGGCCCAGATCACCCAACTCCATGCCTCTGGCCTGCCCCATCCCCAGGATCTGCTCCTACAGTCCTCTTACTCGAGCTGCTCTGAGCTGGTTTGGGTCTTGGCCACTAGTCATTGTATCCTCTACCCTGTCCTCTTGTTCCCTTTATGCTCACCGGCTGAGGGAGGCATCAGTTTCTCGCAGACATTCCACCACAGTGGGCCGATGCCGCTGCACAGCACTGTGATCAGACTGCACCAGGCGTAGTAAGGACGTCAGGGCTACATACCTGGTCAGAGTGGGAAAGGCCCTATCATGCTGTGGCCATTAGCCTTGCCCTGGGTACAGGGGTAAGAGGTAAGTGGATCAGGAGGTTCTGGAGGGAAGAGTACAGAGGGTCAGGGCTCAGTGGCAGAGTATAGCCACACACAAGTCATTACCTAATGTTCTTATCACTGTTGAGCAGGAAGCGGCCAAGAATGTTGACAGCTAGAACCTGTGGGAGAAAGAGGGTGGGCACTCAGGCAGTAGCAGCCTATTCACTCAAGAGTGGGGACCATATGACACAGGATGACAGGTGTTGGGGAAAGGCCAGTGAAGAGAGCCCTGCTGGCTGGCTGGGAGTGGAGGGTAGGCCACAGTGGGAGAGCATATGGGAAGATACCCGTAGGCCGGCTGCAGAGCGGATGTCCATGATGGTAAGCACTGCCTCAAATAGGACCGCGTTGCCTGCATTTCGACTGGTGTCTGTGTTGGTGGCTACCTGAGTGGATGGGAGAGGAGATACATCCACAATGGCTTCTCTCCTCACTAGGATCTCTGGAAGCTCTCCACTATCCATCCATTCCTCAACCAGCCAACAAAGTTTCCCAAACCCCACTATGTGCCTGGGCCAGCTTGGACACTGGGACATTAATACTGCAACATACTGTGTCCCTCCTTCATGTAGTTCATTGGCTAGAGGGGACAGAGGAGTGATTACATAGCTGCTACATGGTGAGTAATCCTGTAACAGCTGCCCAGGACTGGTAGATCCCAGAGCAACATACCTAAGCAATGTCCCCCCAACCCACACCTGTGCTAGCAAGTCATTCATGGTCTCACTGCTTTCCTCATGGTTCCGGCCCAGGATCCGAAGCAGACGAAGGATCTGGACCTGTGGTTGGGTTAAAGATTGAAAGATGGAGAGATTCACAGGATAAGGACTTGTAGGGCTGAGGAGAAAAATCCAACACTGAGGACAGCATTCATTGTAAGGGACCTGGTTAGACCCTAGAGCCTCCCATCCTTCATCACCTCCATAGGTCCTGGTGGCCCTGGGAGGGGATCAGAAGTGTATGAAGCCAAGGGAGTTTAGGACAGTTTTTTTGTTGTTGTCGTTATTACCAAACTGGATTTCCGACCTTCAGTCATATCCTCTCCCCGTCTTTGTCCTGGAATGACCAGGGCAATCAGTCTGCTACCCTCTTGCCCAAGGCACTGACTAAGCCAGAGTATACTACAGGAATCTCACTGCTAAGCCTTCTTTCCTCCAGGGATACTTGAGGGAAAGGTCAGCCCACCTGCAGGAAGGGGTCGCTGACTCCAGATATGCTGTGCTCTGTGGAGTATCCTGTTGTCACCAGCATCCGGAGGATCTGTACCAGCTGGGGTACGACCTGGAGGGAGGGCACAATGTTGCCTGTGCATTCCGTCCTTATCCTTGTACTCTCAGCTTTAGCCCCATTCTGCCCCCACTGCCCCTCTTTGCCAGGGCCAGGGCCTACCCCTTCACCAGCCCACCTTACGAAAATGCCTGAGGGCTGCAGGGCTTCGTTCGCAGAGCTCCATGATCAGCGTGATGGTGCCCAGCAGGATGCCTGGGGTCAGGGTAGGGAAGTGAATGGTGGGCCAGGGCACGAGACAATCTACTGTGAGCATGTCTGTGTGTATGTACTACTATTGTTCTATGAACTGGTGTTTCTCTCCTGTTTTTCATTTCCATTCATAGCCAGACCAGACACAGAGGATGGGGAGCCTTTTGGTCTTACCATGGTGGCGCTCATGAAGCAGTTTGGCACAAGGTGGGAGGAAGATGTCAGAGAGCTCAGGGACCTTCCGGATCATGTGTACCGCAGTCAGAATAGCCTGTGGAGGTCAGGGGCCTCAGATAGGCAAGTATCTACAAGGATGGAATCTACACACACACACACACACACACACACACACACACACACTTCTACTGCATGGCAGATGAGGGACAGTTTCTGAAGGGGCAAGTGCTAAGTTCTTCATCTCACCTTCTTGCGCACATAGGGGCTGGGCTGCAGGAGCAGCTTCTCCACCTCGGTGGCCAGGTCCCGGCACATCTCAGCAGAACCCATGGTGCTCAGAGTGCACAGAGCCAGGCCTTGTACCGGCTGAATCCCCTGACTCAAGTCACTGCAGGGTTGGGAGGATGATTAGTCAAGCCTCTGAGGAAACCAGTCCTTCCCAGTAACTACATCAGGTAGCCCCCTGGAATTTACCAGTTCCCCACTCTCCCATCTCCCTGATTTGCAGTTCCCCCAGAACTTCTCACTTCTTGATGCTGTTGGTAATGAGCAGGTGGGCATCGTGCCTCTCATCCAATAGAAGCATGGCCCCCAGGTAGCCCACCCTCTTGTCTGTGAATCTGGGGGATGCAATCAGTTTCAGGCACTCCATCTACAGGGAAGAGGGCAGATCCGAAGGGCAGGGGTGAAACAAGAGGGTTCCATGCTACTCCTTCACCTCTCTGCCAGTGGCACACATATCTATATGTTCAGCTGGGCTTTTCTTATCATTAGATTAACTTCTGGGGCATCATATCTCATCATCCTCTCTTCAACCAAAGAGGCTTAGGAGGGTCAGGTATTAGTGTGCAGATTAAAGAACATAGGAGTGGAGGAGGCTGGAAGAAAAGAAGAGGAGGTGCCCTGAATGGGTTGGCCAGAGAATGAAGGGTTCACCCCAGCTGAGGACTAGTGGGGTAATGGGAAAAGTTTTTTCCAGTGCATGGTGAGATGATTCAGAAACCAGAGAATGAAAACAGTCGGGGCACAAATAAATGAAGAGATCCACGACCCTGTCCCAACAGCTTTCCTCTTCAAACTCTGGAGGCAGATATACCTGTCCAAAGTGGGCAGGGTAGCCCAACATGTGGACATAGAGCAGTTTGGCCAGCTGGCGGTGCCTCTGCAGGGGGTCCCCATCTCGGAAGGAGGCCCGGATGTGGGCGCATTCCTTTTGGATCACCTCCCGCTCCTGGGCCTGAGTCTTGGCCCTGCGAATCTCCTCGATTAGGTCCTGAAGCTTCAGCAAGGGCACCACCATCCTGGGGGGCAGAGCCCGGGAGTGGGGAAGTCTTTAATTAATTTTCTAGCCGGCAGCCAGGTTTGCCCTGCTCCAAGATCCTAATGGCCTGGGTCTTACATCTATCCTAAACCTTACTCCAGTTACCTTTCCCCACCTGGGTCCCCAAAGCCCACCCCCATCGCGCCGCCTAAGGAGATTCCCCACTACGCATGCGTCCCTGCCCCACCCCGCACCTGTTCCTACGGAGCATGCGCCAGAGCCCCGCCCATCTCCCCTTTTCTAGTCCACCTGGTATGCCATTCCTAGCTTGGGCATTCCTTTCCATTCAGGGTCCTGCACTGTTGTTTTTTCGCGAGATTCCTCCCCGCATTCCCATCTCTGGCGGCTTCAGCTTCCCTGCCCCAAGACGCCAGCCTCACCTGCCTTCAGTCAATTGTCCTCCTCTCCCCCCCAGACGCTTCCTGGTATAGGGCCGAACCGGGGTTGGTGCCTGGTCGGGTCCTTCCCTCTCCCCGCCTCCACCACGGGACCCCGCCCTCCTGGGCCGCCCGAGAGCCTTCTGGAGTTCTCTGACCTCGGCGTGTAGGGGAAGGAGCTCTTACCAGCTAGGACAGCTAGGCAGTAAGCTGGGCCGAGGTTCCCCAAGAGGCTTCCTTCTACCTGTCACCACCCGGAGAGCCTCAGAGAGTTTGGGTTTGCAGCCATCACACCCCAAAGGAGATGACAATCCCCCCCCTTTTTTGAACTTTTTTATTAATATATTTTTTTTTGTTAAATTTCTTTGTATTTTTTTCCTGCAAGACTTGGTGTTGGCGGCACTGTTGTATAACTTCAATCCCAAATTCCATGAAATAGAAATCAGAAGTAAAGGTTGAGAAGGGAGGAAGGAGGGAGGCAGGCCAAGGAGTAAACAGAGTTTGACTAGAAAAAAGAAGAGGGTATATGTGGTGGGCATTCCCGGGCAAGGCCATTTCTCAAGGGAGGGGGTTGGCAGGCAGCTTGTCTCTGCCTCATGCAGGGGAGGGAGGAAAAATCCCCTGGGGACCCCACATTCCCCTCTTCCTAGGGCTTCCTACCCCCAGGGGGAAAGCTAGTACCAGGGATCAGCCACAACCTCAAACAGGTCTCTCCACCCACCTCTCACCCTGGATTTGACTCCCACCTCTGCCCTGCCTGGGAAGTGTGGGAGAGATCAGCTTCCTTGGATCCCCTCCTTCTGTTGTTTTCTCATTTCAGGAGATTCTGATGTGATGGGGGAAGGGACAAAACCCACGGGGCCTACTAGACTGTCACAGCTTCTACTGCCCTGTGAGCTCTTGTTTCCATCCCCCAGAAGTGCCTCCCCCCACCACAATTGTCAGAGTTGGGGAGTGGTGTCCTTGCTCAAATGCCTCTAGCACTCTGCAGTAGAAGTGTCTTCTTTTAGGCCCCTTAGGAATTTAATCAAAGGCCACAAGTGAGTCCAGACCAACCAAATAAACTTTTAGGGGAACACAGAAGGGTAGAGAGGGTAGTAGTAAGGTCTGAGAGGGGTGGGCTTGGCTGCATTGGATAGTTTTTGTTCCTTTACACATTGTTCTTGGCATGGCATGGCATGGCATGCCATTACAGGGGGTTGGAAGATAGGCTGGCTGTTGAGGAAAGAAAGAGGGAGATCGAGGGAGTTATTCTATTGTTCACTTTCCTTTTTCTCCCTCTGGGAAGGATCAGTGAGCCAAGAACCTAACTGGGTGCTGGGAGGGGAGACACTATTCTCCAAGGTGACAGGTGGAGGTGGCACCTCCTTCAGCCTTTTCAGCTTGGGCCAGGAAGCCACAGTGGCTCAGCCAGCACCCTGACCAGCATTTAATCACTCCCTTCTCCATTGTTTTCCTCCTCTGCGCTCAGCTTTTAGGAGACTCCTCAGGACACCAAACCCCCACCCTTGGTGAAATTTAGGTTTAAAGAAAAGGTGGAAAGGGTGTGGGGGCAATGGTCTGACTTAGATTTATGTGTCTCAGAGAAGACAGCAACTCTGAGAGAGAAAAGCCCTTCATATGTAAACAATCTAGAGAAAGAGGAGGTTGAGGTGGGGAAGGGAGTGAGGAAGACAGACACAGATCTAGAGTAAATGAGATAAGCTGAAAGAAGAGAGGGAAGGAAAAAGCAAGAAACAAAAATAAAGTAGGACAGAAGAGAAAGGAAAAGGAGAAGGAAATATAGGAACAAAAACAATGAGGGGGAGGAAAAGAGAAAACGGCAGGTCAAAGGGGTGAAGAGGCAGGCAACCAAAGCCAGTGCTTGGCCAGGAAGTAGCCTCAAGTGAGGAGCTGGGAGAACAGGAACGCCAGGCTGAGGTCCAGGAGGGCTACGGCTCCCACCACCAGGGGGTTGGCAGCTCCCTAGAGAGACAGAGCGGGAAGCAAGCTCAGTCCCTGAATACCAAGTCCAGTGTTGATCCCACCTCCCTGCCCTCCCTTTAGGTGGCAAAGCCAAGGGTCCCAGCCACCTCCCTACACAGGGCGGAGCATGGGGATGTCTAGCCTTTCTGTCTTGTGTTGCAAAACACCCTTCTTCTCCCAGCCCCACCTTTGCTCTGGCACTCTTGAGACAGGAACAGCCCCGCCCCCCTCCTCGCTCTCCTTCCCTCCCCTCCCACCAGTATATCATATGGCCCAGGCAGAAGGTGCCTGGCCTTAGTAGCAGAAACTGGCAGTAGCAGCCAGTACTGCAGTAGGGCAAAGGGATGAAGGGGTGAGGATGTGGTTGCTAGGAAACAGGAGAAGGCCTGGAATCCAATCAGAGCAGAGGGTTCTGGGGAAACTCCACCTCTCCCAGTTTTTTGCCTTTTTTTTTTTTTTTTCTATTTCCCTTCTTCCCAGGAGAGGGAGGGAGAATGAGGGTAGGGAGGGAACAATTTTTTCTTTTTTTATTTCTGGGCACCAAAGAGAGAAAGTGCGGAGGTGGGGCTGGGGGTGGAGTAGGAAACTGGGAGCTGGAAATGATATGGAAGGAGAACAGGAAAAAAATGTTCTGGTTCTACCATTAATTATTAGTTTGTAACACTGGGAAGTTACTTTAAGTGTTCTGGGCCTCAGTTCCCCCAATTGTCAAATGAGGGAGTTCGACTTAAAGGTCTCTGAGGCTCTTATCTGTTTGAAAGTTACCTTTTTTTTTTTTTTTTTTGGTACCCGGGATTGAACTCAGGACACTCGACTACAGATCCACATCCCCAGCCCTATTTTGAATTTTATTTAGAGACAGGGTCTCACTGAATTGCTAAGCACCTTGCCATTGCTGAGGCTGGCTTTGAACTCGAGATCCTCAGTTGGCTTTGAACTCGAGATCCTTGAGATCCTGGCTCAGCCTCCTGAGCCACTGGGATTACAAGTGTGTGTCGCCCGCCTGACTGAAAGTTACCTATTTTTTTTTTTTTGTTTGTTTGAGGTGAGATATGGTCCAAGACTGGCTAGGCAGAAAGAAAGCTGAGTTGAAATCAAAACCCCTCAGGGAATCAGACAGAGGTCTGGAAAGGGGTGGGACAAAACAAAGCTTTAAAAAGAAGAGGGCATTAAGTGGGTGGGAACAGAGGATGTCTCACCCGCTGGACAGGCCTGTCAGTCGCAGCAGGCTCTTCAAACTCTTCCATCAGGCACCCGGCATCAGGACCCCTCGAAGATGGGCCCCTCAGGACCGGCATGGTAACAGGGTCAGGCTCCGAGCCTCCTGGGGCCCTCAGCTGGGGCATGGGCTCTTCATCTTCCCCTTCTTCCTCTCGAAGACTTCCTGAACTGTCACTGCAGCCTCCGAGGAGTGGTGAACCGTCTCTGGGCCCTGGGCCCTGCATCCCAGCCTCATCCTCAGCCTCATAACCAGCCAGTTCCTCTGCCTGCTCACCTGGCCCCCCCCATTCCTCAGGCCAAGCTTTGGGGCTGGAGAAGGGACCCCAGTCCCCTCTAGGAGGCAGTGGGCTCTGGCAGGCAGGGTGTCGCCAGGGTTGGCGGGAGGAGGCAGGACTGCTGGGCAGCTCAGGAGAGCCTTCTGAAGGGGTCAGTCCATTCTCACACACCCCAGGGCTGTCCTCATCCAAGGGCTCTGTGTCGGAACCTTCCGAATCCTGCCTGGGTCTGCGACCTGGGCAGGGATAGCTGAGAATCAGTGGAGTCTAACTGGCTATTGGCTGGAGCCCCTGACTGGCACTTCCTGGGACATTGATATCCCCAGGCTCTTAGCTTCTCACCACTAGATCCCAAACCTCTCGTTACTGTACCTCATAAATTCCCAATCCCACTCCCCAGACAAATGGGCCTGGTCCCTATCATCTATGCCCTTGGCTTGTACTTTGGCTTTCCCATTTCCAGATCCTGTGGGCTTCCCACCCCCTTTTCCCATATCTGAGCTCTCTAGCTCCCCAAAGGGCTCCTTCCCCTCCCTGAGGATGCCCACATCTCACCTGGGGCCTCCAGCATGGGTTGAAGGTCCTGGGCTATCAGTTTCGCCATCTGCGCTGCCTCCACAGCCTTCTCTGCGACACTGCTGGCTGCCACTGCCTTTAGGAGGGCATCTGCTGCCCTGTTGGGTCCCAGGGATGGGGACTTAGCAGGCCTTCCTCCACTTCAAATTAGCCCCTGCTCAGATTCTCCACCCACCTCATCATGTCCCCACCATATCACATCCTCATCTGAGCTCCCCTCGGGAGTTTCACCCTTCCTCTTACTGCCAGCTGCTCCCCTTCTTGGGCAGGTCAGGGCAGCTTCCTGCTTTGGTTTCCTCTCCTGGCCCTGGGGTGTTTGCTGTTATCACACTCTCCTGCTCCTCTCACACCCTTCTATCCTTGTGTCCTGTAGTAACACTTCCTCCTTCCAGCTGTAGGGGCCTGGCCCTCCCCAAACTCTGTTATTCCATCTCTCTCTTGCTCCCTACCCCAGTGACAACTGAGCCTTCCCTTTCTTACACATCCTCTGCGGTCCTGTTTGGTGCTTACCAACTAGCCTAATGCCCTCTTGGCAGTTTGTACCTCCTGTTGTTATCAACCCCTCTCATACCTCCTGGTGTGTGACAATTTGTTCCCAGCCACCCCTTCCCTTTGCCTTGAATCCCCTTCCCACCGTCAGACCTCCTTATTATTTCATCCTCTTCCAGTGCAGAGTTCCTGGCATGAGAATTTTCCATCTTGCTTTTCTTTAGCCTCTTTTTTTTTTTTTAAACCACAATGTCTTCCCTTTCTGTCAATGCCACTCTCCCCCTGCCCTGCCTCTCAGCTTTGGAACCAGAATAAGGGTGTGTCTCCCCTTTCTGCTATGATCACATCCCTTCTCCTGCCAATATGCACATTTTTTCACAACGGCAATTATACTTTCTGGGTAAGCTTAGTCTCCCTTCCATACTCCATCCCATCCTGTCTGCTCCCTAGGTACCGGCCACCTTGAAGCATTATTAATCCTTGCCCCACTGTTGTTTCTCAGTTTTCCCTCTAATGTAGATGTTTCTTCAAGTT